CCTAGACAAGTCAAAGAGGTAACCTCTGCTAAACTGAACTTACTACTAATTGCTGTCTACGCTCTATAAACACAGTCACAGAAAATGCACCTTAAGCATAAATTGTCTTTTATCCAATTATACGTTAATTGTCATGTGTTACTTTAAGGATGGGAGGAGTTGAATAATAGATGTCGCCATAAAGCTACACTAACTGAGAAACTACTAAAAGTCAGGACTGGATAGATGAACAGCTAGTTGGGACTTCCTCAACAATCCTGCTTCCTAATGCTACTTAAGATCAAATATAAGACCCTTAGGTTATGTGATGTGTGTACGTTACGCTTCAGTTGATGCGGTGAAAGCCACCAGTTAATGAATTCTAACTTCTGTCAGTCCATCGTGTAGATCCTTCGTCTGCACGTATGACAAGGAAGATTTGTAGCTTAGATGGATATACTTGGCGTCATTCTATCCTCTGAATGAACTATACACCTAACTCAGTGGACTGCATAGTGTTCTTTAAGATTCTTCTTTAAGATTAGTAACAGAAAAAAATCAAGGTTTAGTGGACGTTAGAGAGTATACATTTTAAGTCATACCATCAACAGCTTCACACTGTTAGTCCTCAGAATCCCAAGGATCCCAGCCAACCAGTCTACACCTCCCTACGTGACTGAATCGTAGCAGCGGTTGAATTTTCCATGGACTGATGCCAGGTGGTGGTTCAACAAGCCCTAACTCTTTTCCCACCCAACTGTGACATGTGTTACTGACAAGATTTATCAGTAGTATATAAAGAGACGTTCATTGGTACGAAAAATATCAAATAGTGGAGTGATAAATTTGACGTCAACGTGAGCAGGTGAGCCAGTATTACTATAAAACATGTAAGACAGGAAAAGAAGACAAAGAAAAACAATATGAAGGGCAGAAGTAGCACAACTCAAGAGATTTGTGCAAATGACAATTTTCATATAAGGGGTGGTGTACGTAATCTCCCTGTAAAGACAAATCAACCACCAAATAAACATTCCGTTACCAAGTCTCTTGTCGTATATCGTTGCACTACTCCATGTCAGCGATTCATCGGAATGCGAAACATGTATCCTATCTACCTCAGTTGATGCAACATTCATAACCCTTCCTGACCAAGCACTCTATGCGTCAGCTCAATATTCCTCACCATATTATGCCACTTAACACTAGAGGTAGAACCCAAACATCTCTGCGTTAAGACCGGAACTGCGACCTCGTAGACTATGAGCGAATTCAAACTTTAATGCGCTAAATAATCTGTCCAGATCCCACATCAACAACAACGGTAACACCGCTGGCATGCAAAGACACAAGAGAAGACTGGCAGTCGATAAGAAAGCTTTTACTGTCTCAAACAGCAGTCAAAATGCTAGACAGAAACTCTGTATATATAAGTTTGAAATGACCTTGAAAATGCAATAATTCATTGGTGCACTGAAAGTATTAACAGCCAATAGGAATGCAGCAATCCAAACAGAGGGAAATACAAAGAGTTCACGCCATTGCACGATAACTCCTTAAAATAGGTATTTTAAGGTTTCAGGCAAAATTAGACAACTAGCCGACTAGACTTTTCATTTTTCCAATTTCAGTCGTCATATCTCACAGGCACAACAGGTGAAGAAAGAGAAATACTGAGCAGTATACACCTGCATTGATTGACAGCCAGATATCACGTGAGTTGGTGAATGTTACAGGAGCCACTTTCTATTTGTGTCTTCGATTTCATCATCAATCAGTTGGACATTAGAGGTGATGTAAATAACTAAATAAGTGAAATAGTGTGTAATGTGCTCTACGACTTCACATTTTACTTCAACAGTACTGTAGCATTATACGACATTTGATAGGAGCTGAATGTATGCCAAACATTAGAGTTATTATTATTATTCTTATTGTTTCTTTTAATTCCTAGAGGATTATAGCGCTTCAGCCGCACGTCACTAATGCGTTCGGTTCTCTGAAAACGCTTTCACCTGGGTCTACGTCTGTCGAAATGCTTTCATCTCATCTTCACATGACCTCCTCTGTGTGACCACACACTCACACTGACGACCAACTCTCCACTTCCCATTCGGGTTCCACTCGACAGAGAACCTGGCGTGTGGTGTCAATCACTTGATGGTTTGTTTTCTCAGAGTATGACCAGTTCACCTCCATTTTTTCTCCTGAGTCAGTTAGCCCCCAGAGATCCCTCACTACTGCTGATCTTTTCTTGCAGGTCGTCTAACCTTGAGTAATATTGAGCGAAGACAGTTGTTGATGAAGGTGTGTAGTTTGTTCGAAGTGGCCTTCGTGACGCGGCGCGGCGGCAATTCTCTGATTCGCATGGTAACACTGATTTTGCAATGGAGTTGAAAATTCGAGCTTTATTTTTCATGCTGAGTGCTGTTGATCTCCACAGGGACTTGACAGCAATGAAAGCTTTCCTCGCTTTCCCGATCCTTGGTTTGATACACTCATCAATTCCGTCCACCTGCCGTTGAAATAATGCTTCCCAGTTAGGTGGTAAAAGAGATTGCTTCTTTCAGATTCCTCTCATTTATGCTGGCTGATTGTTGTTGTTGCTGTTGGCCAGGAATTTTCACCACCTCTGTTTTCTCTATGTTCAACTGAACATCTTTGATGTTTCTTTTGCCAACTTGTTGCTTTTCACTTGCATATCTTCCAGTTTGTGAGAAATCAGACAAATATTATCGGCAAAAACATTAGAGTTATTAAGTGCCAAAAAAGTATTAGAATAAAGGAGCTCAGATACTCCCGTAAGTTAGGTGACACAGTAACTCATTGAAGAAGACATTTTGAAGTGGTCACACTATATCATGAATTCACAGAATTTAGAATTCATACACTGGCCATTGGATCGGAAGCCAGTAGCTTAACGGTCTACGAGCTCGCTGGCCTTGTAACCAAATGGTCCTGGGTTTAAAGAAGTCTCGGTGTGTGCATACTGATGAAGGGTCCAAAACTAGGCTGACGAAACAGCCATCTGGCAGTACCCTCTGGCTGGTTTTTCAATGGTTCTCTAACTAATGTCAGTGCATGTTAAAAATCCTCCAACCAATCAAACAAAATCCCTACAAAAATGCCAATATTTGAAAGTTATTTATTTACTTCAAAATTCAAATTTCAATTTTAAAAAAAACGGAGAGAGGAATAGCAAAGAAACAGGAAATCAAATAGTTAAGGGAAATAGCTAATTAAATCATACCATATTATGTATATGAATAGAGTAAGATTATTACAGTCTTATCATGCAAAATAAAAGAGCAGTTTCATATTGATTACAATAGGTTGATTCACTTTTCAGTAGAAAAGAGATCAAGAAACAATCAGAAAAGAAGAAAAAACAGGGAAAAAAGGAGAAAATATCTGATTTCAAATAAATGCATATTTACTAGAGACTTCCCCATTCACATATAACTGATTTTTAACATTGTTTCGTACAATTAAAAAACGTTTTTGAGATAGCTTGCATACTACTGATATGTTTTGTCAGTAGCCTAAATTTGTAAGCAAAATATTTGGAGTAAGGCTAGATGTTCATGTTATCATTTTAATATTAACATCTTTTAATTCTCATTCAGATGCTCAAGAATTCAGGGTCAACAAAAAATTATGATGGTGATTATTATCCTGAATTTTGTTGTTGTTGTTGTTGGGCAGATTTCATTCCAGTTAACAAACGATCTGATAAAGCAAAATATCCTGATTTACGTCGATAAACTAAAATTGGTTTATGCTTGCCAAGATCTTGATTTTTACCGATGACCTCTGTATGTATTGAATTTTCAATTGATGGATTCACCGGTTGGTGTTTTTGTGTTTGTGTTTGTTGACTATTTGATCCACACATGATCCACCATGCAGGACGTGATTTACTAGGCTTACGAATACGTTGTATTGTTGTTTGCTGTGAACGTGATTCACCACATGAACTGCTAGTTGTTGTTGATTCAGAACGTGAACTGATGGAGGCATGACTTTTGAATGGATGAGATTCAGGATCTTTGAGTGAATTTAGTGTGCCTGTTTGTGAACGTGATGGTGTTGTGGTTGTTTTTGTTGTAGTTGCTATTGTTGTTTGGTTTGCATTGGTGGTGTTTGGAAGCGTGTGGCCTGAATGTAGGATATCTGAAGTTGTATTTGTAAATTCAGCCATGTGTAATTCATCTTCCAGTTGGATTTCTTAAAAAAAGAAAAGGAAAAATCGATAGGAATTTGAAGAAATAAATATTTGAGTTTGGTGACTTTTGAGTCACAAGCACTCATCAAGGTTGTTTAGAGAATAAAATTTGCAATTTTTAGATACAGTCAGTTTGAAGTAGCAAATCTCGACCCTAAATATTTAGATCCTAATATGTTACTTGTTTGATGGCGTAAATGACGGTCACTGACTAAGTGGTTGTTGATTGAGTGATACAGGTGGTTGAAAACCGTTGACGTCAAGCACTTCTGTTTTTTCTCTATTCCTTCACGTTCCCAGTGGAACATAAGGCTTCAAGCTAGAGGCTTGAAGTTTCTTTAGCATTGTTTATTTTTGCAGGATGGGGTTGCTAGCCTCATGCCCAACCTTTCCCCTTTACCAGCTTTATTTCTGGCTTAGCGAGGTAAAGGAGTGCGTCGGCCGGCGGTCCAACCCCGGACCATGTGCATGGCCGGCGAGCATCCTAACCGCTATGCCACCGACGCATCATATCGATATGATCTCCATGAGTATAATGGAGATTCAGTGTTCTTAAGATCACCTACACCTTTGATTTGACACTAGTTAGTAATTAGTGCGATGTATCTAGTCCTTTCTTCGGTGCAGACTGAATTCTATCAGTCAGTCAGGTTTGCAATGTGGCCGCTATACTAGTGTGGTTTGTCATCTCGGGGCACATTCAATTGTTGATATTAGACGGTTGGAGTCAATCGGCCACAGGAAGCCTTGCATGACCTAGGTTTCGTGCTACTTGGCACTCACCAGTCAAGCAAGACGTATCTGCAACCATAAAGGAACAACTCATGTCCTTCTTTTTGAGATCCGAACCCGCGTCAACCAGTGCTGCACTCACAGACGATTGAATCTCAAAAGGGACATGATTTCCTTCAGGATTGCAGATGCGCTTTACTGACGAGTGACAACTAGCACGAAACCTAGGTCATGGAAGGCTTCCTGACGATTGCCTCCAACCATCTAATATCACTCATATGTGACTGATTTGTGTGAGTGCTACTCAACCACTCATATCCACCAGTAGTATATACCATCAATTTAATTGGAAAACCTCTGAAAATCGGAGAGTTTGGATCCATTCGGTGGTATGTACTCATGACCCCTCTTCGTAGGTCGAGAAAACCACATTCCAGATGAGGACGTTGCTATCTAACCACTTGGTCGGAGTCATAAAGTAATTCATGAATCATTTCTTCTGTTAAATAATAACATTCCTGCATAACGCTATCTGTATTTTAATGTTTCTCTACCTGATTTTATCGTTCGTGATGAAATTCTGACTTGAAATCCCCTAAATCTGCATAAACTCCATATTTATTTGTTTTGTTTTATTATTCCTTTGCGTTCCGAGTGGAACATAGGAGGACTTCAACAACATATCGCCACTTTGTTCTATTTTTTGCCGCCCTCTTCAGTTGGGTCCAAGGTTGAACAAACTCTCTCAGCTATTCCTCGCACGATCCCCTCCATGTCACCCTCACACTGACAACACACTCGTCGCTTCCCATTGGGATTCCACTCTAGTGATGGCCTGCATTGTGTGTGATGTCATTCGACAGTCTCCTCAATGTATGCCCGATTCACCTCCATTTTCTCCTACATATTTGCTGACCGATCGGTTCTTGGTTGGTTTGTTCCCAGACGGCCAGAGTTTTTTGTTGTTAATTTTTTCTGGCCATTTGATCTTCCCTATGGGATCGGCAAAAAATGCAGCTGTTGATAAAAGTCTGCAGCGGCTTGTTGAAAATCGTTTTTGTGACTGACACGGTGGTCAAGTTTCTCAACTATATAGGAGGACTGACTTGACATTGGTGTTGAAAATGCGAATCTTGTTCCTTATGCTGAGGTGGAGTGCAGAAGATTTCCAAATTGGTTTCAGGTTGGTGAATATGGATCTTGCCTTTCCGATTCTGGCTGGCTTTGATATACTCGTCTGTTCCGCCTGTAGTTGAAACGATGCTTCCTGGCTGGATAAGTGAAGGAAGGAAGGGACCTCTGTTAAATCTCTCTCGTTGATGGTGATTAGTGCTGGTTATTGTTGCTATTAATTGATTATCTTCATCACTTCCGTCTTCTCTATGTTCACGTGGAGTCCTGTTTTCGCTACCTCTTCAGCCAGTTTGTTGGTTTTCGCCTGCTTGCAAGTCTTCGAGTTTGTGTGACATTAGATATATATCATCCACGCGCGAAATCCAGATCTTCTATAGTCTTCTTGTCGGTCATCCAGCGTATTCCTGACCCCTCGCTCCCAACAGTCTGACTCACTACATGGAACTAAGTTGGTCTAAATTCTGATTAAATGTTACAAGGTGGACATTTAAGCTATTTGGACTAGTCCCTAAATGAATCTATGAAGACTTTTAAGTAGACACCACCACCAAGTGTTGACCGAAATTTGAACATCCCGAATTACGCCACCTATGGTGGTCCGCAACCGGTGATAAATTTACTAATACGGAACCAATCCAAGAAACCAGTTCATTCAGGCCGTAGGTTACCGCCTGCCATCAAGCAGTTGTCCCCTGGGCTCTGCAGTCACGCAACTCTAACCCTCTTTCTGTTTTAGATACCCAAAGAATCAACTAAATAATTCACACTTGGGGACAACTGATGAAGAATCCCAGACTGGGACAAAAACAGCTATGCATTACTCCTTGGTGGTTACCAGTGGTTCTCTAACTGATGTAAACTACTGATGCAACTTGTAATAACTATTCAGTATCACAATGTGGTACTCTCCTAAGAGCCACAAATCTCCTTCAAATACTATTTGCCTCATATAATATTGAAGTCTATGTCAAACTTCCTAATTCTCTGAAGAAAGCGTTGGTGTATGTCAAAGATATAGTTCCCAGAATGTCACAAAGTAATAGTGTCTACAGGATAAATTGTTCAGAATGTGATGCATGCTATATAGGGGAGAGCAGTAGGCAGGTGAAGGTCAGAGTGAATGTACATAGACTATGCACGAAACGTCCACCTAGAAATGAAGTAGAATTAAAAGGTCTAGAAAAAAGATCAGCTATAGCAATGCATGCGATAGACAGGGGACATAAGATTGATTTCGACAATGTCGAAATTCTTGGAAGAGGATTTCATTCACATAAAGAAAGATTGACCTCTGAAGCCTTGCACATCTTAACCACTTCGAATGCAGTGAATAGGAAAGATGGGATAGACTTATTACCTATATGGCAAACTCTTATGAAGCAAGACAGATGAAAAAATCAATAAACACTATGAGCCTCCATGAGCTTTTAAAACATGTAGGATCATGTTTATCACATATGAATTCACGTATATTCCATATAACAAATAACATGCATACACACACACACTCATACAAAACTAATCTGTACAAATTAACTACAGAAGAGTGAACACAACAACAACTTGACATTAGTCATTACAAATATATGTGATGACTGCTTACATATTTTCTATTGGTAAAAATGAATCAATCTGACTCGGCGCCCAAATTATTCCACGAAGTTCGTAACACCTACGGCCTGGAAACCTATACTCCATTCCTACTGTTGTGTGTTAGCTCAAAGTTGGATATATCTAAAGTAGAACTGTGGGACAGTGATAACACTGAGTAGTTACGTAATGTTATATAAATTTAAAACAAGTGGAAATGTTAATTACCTGTTCCATTAATGTAAGCAAATAATCCAAAATCTTTAGAATCGAAAATTCTCATTTGAAATGCGATCAGATTGTCTAAATGACGAAAAAAAGGAGGGAAGAAAATGAGAACAAAACGTGAAATCAATAGAATAAGAACACTTATATGAGTAGTATGAAAAAGCAAAAAATCAGATATAAAAAACAAACGAATACAGGAAATTGCATGATGGTATATATACATACTACTGAAAAACTGGAATAAGTAGTTGGATTTCACTCACACATCAGCCAGTAGTGCTTGCTAGCCAGTTAGATCGAGAGTGATTTAAACATTGGACAGCCGTTTTGTTAGTTTGAAGCAGAGGTCATTAGCTGTGAGTCAGGTTAGACTCAGCCAACAGAGGCAAATCAGGTCAAGCCACTGGATTTCTGGCTAGCTGGCTAGCAGCGCGAACTCGTAATACACGATTCGAACAGAACGAATGTTTCGACCCCGAATTCATCAGCAGAGTACCCGGGTTTACCCAGCTGACAAAGCTGAATGAGGTCAAATCATCTGAATTCGGACTAGCTACTTGGGGAAATCGACAGTACATTGGATCAAATCCTTAATTCAAATACTTATTCTTGATTTCTAATTTACACAGTCCTAGGTGAAATCTCATCGTGCTTTCATTTGGGGAAGCGGGAGTAACTATGACTCTCTTAAGGTAGCCAAATGCCTCGTCATCTAATTCCGCCCAGTGCTCCGAGCGTCAACGTGCAGAAGCTCACCAGGGCATGGGGAATGGCGGGATAGGGACAGTAATAGATGGCGAACTACCGGTGTCTTCCCATGACGTAGACATGTGGCCTTGTGCTATGTGCACCGTCGGGTTGATGCTTGAGGGCATGGTTGCGCTGACAGGTGCCTCCGCGTGGCGCCCGCTGGGTGGGACGGTTTTCCGGCCGTCTCAGCGAAATCCTGTCAGATTCGGTGTGCTATTTCTCAATTTGGGAGTGCCGTTCATGGTCTGCCGGCTGACTATCCTCTTGGACATGGGGTGTTCTTGGGGGCGCTGGAGCATTCTGTGGACGGTAGCCTGGTCATGAGAACCAAGCGGGAAGATGGTCGGGGAGAGTCTTATATCCCAATACCAACTGGGAAGGTGCCTAATTCTCTTGTACCCCAATACCAACTGGGGAAGTGCCTATCCCAATACCAACTGGGAAAGTGCCTGATTCTCTTATATCCCAATACCAACTGGGAAAGCGCCTGACTCTCGTTAACTCGGCCTGACCTGCAAGGAGATCATTTCCGAGACTAGTTCACCAACATGGGATAACACTCGCGCTCAATTACTCTACCTTAATGAAACGGCGGTGCCGTCCTGCGGCTGGGCGTTTCTCAGCGATGTACGAGGCGTCGGCGGTGTCAGATCTGGTGGATTTTTGGTGTGAGGATTGAAAGCCAATAACAAATGGTTAGCGAGTGGCTGTGAGAGATGGTACCCCGGATCACGAAGCTAAACTTGATGCAGAGTTTTGCCTAGGCCATCCTTGAGCAGTATCCTATGTCCGGGGTTGTGGATTGGCGGTCGGGATCCGGATTCATGAGTCAAGATCCGGTTGGCTCCAGTGCGCATGAGTCGCTGAGAAGGTGTTACCTAGTGCATACCAATTTGTAAGGAGCATTGCATTAAGAGAGACCCGGGGATCGTCCTGGGGAGTTCGTTGTTGGGGCTTAACAAAGCCACCGGGGCGGCTCGCCAAAGGCAAACTCTTACTCCTTTTACCGGCGCGCCTCGGCAATTGGCATGCGCGACGAGGGGAAAAACTATATTTAGCCAATGGGAAGGTTAAGTGGCCAAGCTGAAGAATAGTGATTCAATCGAAGACCGGCACTGATGACATTGAAGTAAGCAGTTACGGTTTGCGTTGACAACAACGAAGTTTAAAACAATTAGTTCCCTTCTATATGAATTTAGATAAAGCAATAAGAAGACGTAATTTGTCTGAATCGTGTAATGTTGTATTTGTGCGCAACACATTTCGAACAATCTGATCACAAACCGACTTGTCATAGGAGTACATATATATGAAATTAATAAAGAGGTGAGAGGTGAGAAAATAGACTACTTAGGTCAAGTTTAAAGGACATATTGAAGGTGAAAATAACAATGAAGATCACTAAACCAAATAGCAGAGGTAATAGTACATCTACTATGGTGTCGAAACAAAATTTACCAAGGAAGGTTTAATGTGATGACGAATTGTTGCTCTGAACGCATAAGGGTGGTTTAAACTTTCTGATTGCTAGCTAAGGCTTCCACAAACTTTAGGATACGCCCCAAACACGTACATTCAAATTGGTGAATACAGTGGGATGTGACATCATTTTTCGCGTGTTCGAAGGGCTTAGATAGAGATATTGGCTTCACGTTCTCAATTATTATGATATTAGCTGCATAAAAAGCCTTTTTAACAACAGTTAATATCATAATAATTGAGAACGTGAAGCCAATATCTCTATCTAAGCCCTTCGAACACGCGAAAAATGATGTCACATCCCACTGTATTCACCAATTTGAATGTACGTATGCACACATACATAGGGAGGCCTCATCGATCTCTGCAAGTAAGGGCTTCAGAGCATATTCCCAAGTGGCTCCAGAAATAAATGGAATCTTCAGGACCCATTAATGGTGAGCACAGGAGACCTAGCTTTTCTATTGCGAAACATATTATAGAGACAGGACATAAATTTGACCTTAACAGATCTTTTAAACGTATCTATAAAACGTGTTTGGGGCGTATCCTAAAGTTTGTGGAAGCTGTAGCAATTTGAAATTTTAAACCACTGCTATGCGTTCAAAAACAATTCGCCATCACATTAGACCTTCCTTGGTAAATTTTGTTTTGATACCATAGTAGATGTACTATTACCTCTGCTATTTGGTTTAGTGATCTTCATTGTTATTTTGACCATGAATATGTCCTTTTAACTTGACCTTAGTCTGTGTTCTCACCTCTTACCTCTTTATTAATTTCATACATATTCCTATGACAAGTCAGTTTGTGTGATCAGATTGTTGCGCAAATACATTACACGATTCAGACAAATTACGTCCTCTTATTGCTACATGTAACAACGAAGTTATAAGGGATAACTGGAGTCTATTATTCATAATGAACACTGTTCAGGATTCAGGGAAAAAGGTCGTGTTCCAAATAAGTGCCTTAAACTAAATCCTTACTGATAATTGCTAACTTTAACGTCGAACTACACCTCCTCATCGCAAACGACAACAATTTTGACACTACTGTTTCGTGGGGGACAGCAGAGAAGAAATACCTTATGATGGTCTCCGTAAGAAATCGATATCCCCTAAACTTTATGAAAAGATTTATGAGCATTATTATTCCCTTAGGTACGCAACATAGATGGCACTGAAATAGAAACCAAGTCAGAAATTAAATACCTAGCCGTCATTCTATCTGATGATCTCTCCTGGTCGTCTCATATCTTGGCGATTTCTAAGAAAATATTTCGTCTTATCTTCTACATCAAGAAGTTATGACATTCTGGAATAACCCAACCCTTACCCTAACAATTCGTTAACTCTCGCATTCTGCCTATTATTCTCTATTGTTCTTCCTTAGTTTTTCCCGGACTACTGAAGAAAGACTATAACATATTAAACAAAGCAACAACTACAGATTTTGCAGAATAAAATGGTACCATATTTTATTTCGTCGCCTTCTCTTCAGCTGCTTACAGGGCAAAAACATTATTAAATGTATCTACAATAACAATTTATCATACTTACACAGAGTTCATTTTAAACAGAAATCAATCGATCGATATACACATACACTAATAATATATACATATATGTATATATATGCAATCTTGAACACAATTCCGAGCATTAATAATCATACAAAATGAAAACATTTTAGTATCTCGCATTAGGATGAAAAATATCCAGTTACCAGGGCAAAGAAAGACTGATAACTGCTTCTTTCTGAACGCACAAATCAGAAAGAAGAGCATATCTACGATTTTCTGAACATGTACCAAAAAGCTTACGTCTAAAGGGAACAAATGCTTTAGGCAGTGCCATCGCCAGGCATCTTCTTGACATGGGTCATGAGGTGGACGTGGAAAAGTCATTCAAAATTATCAATAAGCAAAAGAGTTCAGTGCTCCTTAAGTTTGCCGAAGCCTTTTCCATCAAGCGCCTAAAACCTGATTTGTGCGTTCAGAAAGAAGCAGTTATCAGTCTTTCTTTGCCCTGGTAACTGGATATTTTTCATCCTAATGCGAGATACTAAAATGTTTTCATTTTGTATGATTATTAATGCTCGGAATTGTGTTCAAGATTGCATATATATACATATATGTATATATTATTAGTGTATGTGTATATCGATCGATTGATTTCTGTTTAAAATGAACTCTGTGTAAGTATGATAAATTGTTATTGTAGATACATTTAATAATGTTTTTGCCCTGTAAGCAGCTGAAGAGAAGGCGACGAAATAAAATATGGTACCATTTTATTCTGCAAAATCTGTAGTTGTTGCTTTGTTTAAGTTCATTAAGGGGAACAAATGTATGAAATATAACATATTACGCAGGATGTTAAAGGTTGTCAGCAGGGTAAGCAACGTGCCACTTAACCAGCTTGTTAATATTCTGGTTGACAGGCACATGGACTCATGCGAAAAATGGGCTAAATCCATTCTATCTAACTCACACCACCCTCTTCACTCACAACTCTCCCCTTGCATCTCATCGGACAGAACCAGAAGCCTATATAGAAAACTATATGCTCGCACCAGCAAGTACAAAAACTCAACCATACCCTACTTAGCTCGTGTTCTGTGCGATAAAGAAAGCATTAGGTGTGACACGTTTAATTCACTAAATAGTCAGTAGAGAAACTGGAGCTCGTCTTTCCAACTCATATCATCAATAGGTACAACATTTCCTTTCTTTCTTTTCCTTTTCTCTCTCACATTTTTCCGTTATGTGCTGCTTTGTTTCTTGCTCTCGATTACGCCAGTAAATATGACAGCGCCTACTTTTATAACACCTTCAAACACTGTTTCAACTTTGGCTTTGCTACCGACATGCCAATATGTTGTTGTCATAATGAACTGAGATTTCCTTAATCTATGTAGAATTCTATTTATTGATAATGTACTAACTGGATGCAATACTGTAGTAAAAATGCTGAGAATTCCATTCTGTATCACAAGTACTTACTGTTTTGGAATAAAGTAAATTATTATTATTATTATTACTTAAGTTCCGAGGGGAGCATAAGGCCCAAAAACCAATCCCCACTACATTCTACTTTCCAATGTCCTCTTCACCTGGGTCCACCATTGACTACAATCTCTCATCTCCTCCTCCTACTCACTACACGATCTCCTCTTTGTCACCCTCGCACCGACGACCCACTTGTCGCTTCTCATCGGGATTCTACTCAAGTGTCTGGCGTCTTTAACACAATGGAATAACAAAATAACTATCAAAATTCAATTCAATTCTTATGAATACTGAAAAATTTGAAAAAATACAAGAGAGCCAACAGAAGTGCGGTATAAAAAAATATTAACCAACTTACTTAATTCTCTAGCTGTCATATTTGGTCTAATTGGATAGCTTAACACTTGTAGCCGACTAGTCTCTTCATTCATTACAAATACTTGTAAGCAATTCCCTTGATTCGGATTCACACAAGACACTTGTCCAAGTGAATAAGGCATAGAAGTTGACCATGTATTAGTTGGATGTGTTACCGTTGGCGATTGTGCGATCCATGGACGCCATCTTGATGATGAAGTTGATGATGAGGTTAGCAATGAAGCACACGGGGGATAAGAATGATCTTCATTCAATGTTAAATGAGATATTGATTGTGGTTTTGTAAGATGTGATAGCTGGTTAGGTTCATTGGTGGTTATCTTTGGTTCGATTGTCAGTGTTTTACCATTATGTAATACTGTCGGTGATGGTGCTTTTATCAAGTCATTTAGATTTCCAATAGTATTGATTGTTTTTGCTATATTTACACCGGTAATAGTTTTCCGCCGACGTGGTGGTATAATAATTCGACGTCTTGTGAATTCTTTAGTTGATTGAAATGTGCCTGGAGTTGTACTGCCATCTCCAGATGGCTGGTTTTTGCCATTGTTATGATGTGGGGAGAATTTTGAGAAACTGGAGTATTTTGGACCAACAGCATCATGCAGCGGGTCATCCTGAGTCTAAAATATTAATAGTTTGTTTGTTAATTGTTATCAGAGAATGTTTATTGAATTGTTAGGAAGGAACTTTACACATAAGAATCTTGAAATAATTTTCATGTATTAGTTTTGTAGGGATTTTGTTTGATTGATTGGTTGGAGGATTTCATCATGAGCTGACATCAGCTAGATAACCATTGGAAAACCTGCAGGGAATACAGGACAGTGGGAAGCTGTGACCAGTAGGACAGAGCAGGTTGAAGGTAAGGCAGCAACTCATCAAAGAAGACACTGAGAAGTGGTCACACTATGTCATGAATTGGCAGAAGTTACAATTTATGGGCTGGCCTTTGGATTGGTGGGTCCCAGTGGCTCCCTGATGGTCTAAGAGCCCAGTGGCCTTGCAAACAGCAGGCCCTGGATTCGAACCCTTCTCGGTGGGGGCGTGTCCCAAACTAGGCTGACGGAACAGCTATCTGGCAGTACTCCCTGGCTGGTTTTCCAATGGTTCTCTAGGTGATGTCAGCTCATGATGAAATCCTCCAACCAATCTTGAAATAACTATGTTTTCACGGGGTAAAACCGAAATAAAACAGGTTTAACGCATTGACTGTTGGGGGCAGTCAGTTTTAACGAAATATGATTGGAGGCAAAGTTTCAAGCCTGATCTTAAGCAACCAATCACAACTAGCTTAGCTAAACCGTCTGACTGATCAAATTTCTACATAGAACTTAGCACAGAAGTTCAGTAGTTCAATTCGCCACATTCCATTGTTAAAGAGGAAGGTTGAGAAAAGTAAAAAAACAGAAATTCTAATCGACTCTAATGAGTATTGGAGAAAGAATGGTTACATGGAAATGCATGAGGGAGTATTGGATATAGGAGGTCATAAAGCATGTAGGCGTCTGCGTCACTGAGAACTATTCTGAGCCATGTCACCGATAGTTTCATGCCATTGATTTTTAGTGTGTTAACGACCCTGACTACGCAGTCTACACCTCCACCAACGGTCAAGGACTTCATGAATTCATAAGAGATTTTAGTTAGAGCAACTGTAAAGCTTGACAATCCAGTTGACAGACTTTCCCTACTTACTACGCCAGTACTCTACACCTTTCCTCAATATTTCTAAGCCAAACAAAGTTTAACAAGATGAAAGGACTGAAGATGATGTCATGAGCATGTGTCGTACAGGTTCAGAATCATTTAGCAGCGCCATAGATCGATACTTGGATGATACGGGGAACTACATAAACACCTTAACATCTTTCATTGGACACTAGTCAGTCACCTAGGTAGAGGTGACGAAAAATACTCATCCATAACACTTACAATCGGTGGATGTTAATTATTTTTTCAAGTCTTACTATTATAGGGATTTCCTTGATTGGTTAGAGGATTTCATCATGAGCTGATATCAGTTAGACAACCACTGGGAAACCCTTCAGAGAGTACTGGACAGCTGGCTGGTTCATCCTAGTTTGATACTCTTTATTGGTAGGCACCCACCGCGAGGGGTTCAAACCCAGGACCTTCTGGTTACAAGGCGAACTTGTAGACTATTGTCATTCCTTTGTGTTTAAATTTATACTACTTATTACTAGTTAGTAGTGTAAGTATATACATATATATTTGTTAACTATGTTTTCACTCCGTAAGCATCACTGTTGATTGTTATTGAAGTTAATCTCATTTAAGGAATTAGTATTCTATGGTAATTATCTTAGAATACTTAGATGATATGTGCTTTTGAATGCTTTATTTATATTCCCTTGTAAGCACGTTTAAGTACATTTACAAATTTAGCTGCTTCTGTGGAGAAAACTATATACGGCGAAATACTAGACAGCTCAACAGACGCATCATTACTGAGCATCTACCTTCATGATTCGGGAGAGGCGAAGTGAAATCTAGACGAAGTTCTACTTTGTCTCATTCGATTGGTGGTGGTGGTCACCAAGTGGACAGAAATAGTGCCTTCACAGTTATCTGTTGCATTCTATCGAGGCTTTCAAATGGATTTTGAACCCGCCGTCTAAACATAGCCGAAGCTATGGGAATTAATTCGAGAGAACAATCCTAGTCTTTGCAGACAGCTAAAGAAGTTTGTTCTACCATTGTCTCTCCCTTGCTTGCCTAGTTAAATTCTAATCAAAACCCTCCCACCCTTTCTTATTTTCCATTTCCTTCGTACTTTTATGATATTGATTTAAACTGTGATAATACGTCCACTATACCTTTGGTATTACGTAACTCTTAAGATTTGACATAAATTATTTATTGATTGAATTGTCTACATACACACATATCACTCACTCACTCACTACCTTTGTTATTCTTATCACCTCATCTGCAGAAACCTTATTATCAATATTTTGTTATCATTGTAATCACCGTTATTACTGACGTTCGGAAGATTTGCCACATCATAAGTTACTTGGCGGATGGTGATTAGCAGTGGAATCTAGGATGCGTATTTCATCCTATTTGGGATTCATCCATCAGCCAGCGGATGTGTACCTGAAGTCCCCAGTGAGTGAGTGATTTTGTCCCCACGGAGGCTCGAACCCAGTGCCCACAGCTTCAAATGCCAAAGTGTTATCCAATCCACTAGGACACTTCAGCCATGGGAGCCACCCACCTCTTGTGCGACGGGTCATATTGATTATTTAATTGAGTTTCAGATTTTTCCGTCGATTGATTGGACCGAAGTGTTCGGTCTCAGGTTGACATGTCGGCTTCTTGTTCTTCTGCAGGTACATCCAGTTGGCTGACGAGTCCCAGGTAGGTAGGACGAATTGCGCATCCTGGATTCCACTGCTAATCACCATCCACCACTTAACTTCTAAATACATACCCAGACATCGTCGAAGCATCTGCACAAGAAGCCGGCCGATATGCCAATCTGAAACTGAGCACTTTTGGTCCAATCAATCGACGCGAAAATCTAAAATTCAATTAAATGTACCACACTATCATTACTGTTTGATCCACATCCACAAATTCACCGTCATTGGTTAAATTTGTTATATATAAATCTATGTAAATTAGAGTAAAGCCTGAAGAGGATCTAACTGAAAACAATAATATTATTCTCTTATATGTCTTGTTCTAATATGAATAATGGGAATATTTAAAGATTCCACATTGTGTTGAACTTAATTTATTCTAATCGCTTTATTCCTTTCCTTATCTAGGCATTCACGTGCTGTTTAATCTGACTGTAGATCGTTCGTCACACAGTGACAGTCTATCTGATGGCATTCAATCACAAGCACCTCACAGTTTGGGGTTTGTATATTATGTTCATTATTTTACATAATAATATAGTGCCGTACATAAGAGAAATCCCGTATTTTGGGATTTTATGCACAACTCGAGTTGTGCATTATTATTGTTTTATTGCTTTCTTTCGTTCCTAGAGGAACATAGGGCTTCAGCCTCACATCTCCACTGAGTTCGGTTCTCCGCCAACGTTTTCATATGGCTCTGCATCTGCCCACATGCTTTCATCTCCTCTTCACATCACCTCCTCCTCGTCACACTGACGTGACGACTAACCCGCCACCTTTCATTCGGGTTCCACTCAAGTGATATCCTATCCTGGCGTGTGATGTCAATTGATGGTTTGTCTTCTGAGAGTATGACCACCAATCCGCTTCAATTTCTTCCTGCATATTTGTTGCACAATTGATTCTTTCTGAGTTGGTTGGTTCGTTTCCAGAAATCCCTCACCAGTATACTGGTGATCTCTTCTGGCAGGCCTTCTGATGATCTTGAGTAGTATTGAGCGAAGACAGCTGGCTGTTGATGAAGGTTGAGTTGTGTGTATGCACAACTCAAACGTTTGGTTAATCTGTTTTATTCCTTCATTTTCCCAGTGGAACATAGAGCCATAATCACATCATATCAACTTGATATGATGATTATGAGTGGCAATAGCTTATGCTCGAAATGTGGTCATCAGTTAATATTACTGTAAAGCAACACTGTGTGATTTATCAGATTAAAATCTCATCCATCTTAATGGAGTTATGCTGTACCAGAGTGCTCAAATTTTTGGTAGCAGTGTTTAGTTTTACAGACAGGATGGGGTTGCTAGCCTCATAGCCAACCTCCCCTCTTTACCGGCTTTATTTCCAGTTTAGCGAGGAAAGATAAGGCGGGGGATGGGGATCGAACCTCGGACCATGTGCACGGTAAGCGAGATTCAATCCTACTGCACCACCAATGCATTGGCTAAGGACTTAGGAGAAATCTACACTGGACTTATATATTTTCCCCTTATATGCCCTGAGTTGGTAGAAGTTAGAATTCGATGGGCCAATGAATTCCATTCCTTTGGTCCACCTCATAACTGGAAGGTCGTGGATCCTATCCCCATTGAAGTCACTCACGCATACTCCTATAGGGTCACAAACTAGGCTGACAAAACAGCTGTCTGGCAGTACTCCCTGGCTGCTTTTCCAATGGTTCTCTAGGTGATGTCAGCTCATGATGAAATCCTCCAACCAATCTTGAAATAACTATGTTTTCACGGGGTAAAACCAAAATAAAACAGCTTTAACGCTTTGATTGTTGGGGGCAGTCATTCTTAACGAAATATGATTAGAGGCAAAGTTTCAAGCCTGATCTTGAGCAACCAATCACAACTAGCTTAGCTAAACCGTCTGACTGATCAAATTTCTACATAGAACTTAGCACAGAAGTTCAGTAGTTCAATTCGCCACATTCCATTGTTAAAGAGGAAGGTTGGGAAAAGTAAAAAGACAGAAATTCTAATCGACTCTAATGAGTATTGGAGAAAGAATGGTTACATGGAAATGCATGAGGGAGTATTGGATATAGGAGGTCATAAAGCATGTAGGCGTCTGCGTCACTGAGAACTATTCTGAGCCATGTCACCGATAGTTTCATGCCATTGATTTTTAGTGTGTTGACGACCCTGACTACGCAGTCTACACCTCCACCAACGGTCAAGGACTTCATGAATTGATACCAGATTTTAGTTAGGGCACCTCTAAAGCTTGACAGTCCTATCGAGAGACTTCCTATTTACTACCCTAACACTCTACACCTTTCCTCAATATTTCTAAGCCAAACAAAGTTTAACAAGATGAAAGTACCGAACATCATGTCATGAGGCTGTATCATACAGGTTCAGATTCGTTTAGCAGCGCCATAGATCGATACCTGGATGATACGGGGAACTACATAAACACCTTAACATCTCTCATTGGACACTAGTCAGTCACCTAGGTAGAGGTGACGAAAAATATTCATCCATAACACTTACAATCGGTGGATGTTAATTATTTTTTTCAAGTCTTACTATTATAGGGATTTCCTTGATTGGTTAGAGGATTTCATCATGAGCTGATATCAGTTAGACAACCACTGGGAAACCCTTCAGAGAGTACTGGACAGCTGTTTCATCCTAGTTTGATACTCTTTATTGGTAGGCACCCACCGCGAGGGGTTCAAACCCAGGACCTTCTGGTTACCAGTCGAGCTTGGAGATTATTATCATTCCTTTGTGTTTAAATTTATACTACTTATTACTAGTTAGTAGTGTAAGTATATACATATATATTTGTTAACTATGTTTTCACTCCGTAACCATCACTGTTGATTGCTATTGAAGTTTATCTCATTTAAGGAATTAGTATTCTATAGTAATTATCTTAGAATACTTACTTAGATGATATGTGCTTTTGAATGCTTTGTTTATATTCCACTTAGCACATTTAAGTACATTTACAAATTTAGCTGCTTCTGTGGAGAAAACTATATACGGCGAAATACTAGACAGCTCAACAGACGCATCATTACTGAGCATCTACCTTCATGATTCGGGAGAGGCGAAGTGAAATCTAGAAGAACTTCCATTTTGTCTCATTTAATTGATAGCGGTCACCAAGTAGACAGAAATAGTGCCTTCACAGTTATCTGTTGCATTCTATCGAACCATTGAAACGAAATTTGAACCCGCCGTCTACACATAGCCGAAGCTATGGGAATTAATTCGAGAGAACAATGCTAGTCTTTGCAGACAGCTAAAGAAGTTTGTTCTACCATTGTCTCTCCCTTGCTTGCCTAGTTAAATTCTAATCAAAACCCTCCCACCCTTTCTTATTTTCCATTTCCTTCGTACTTTTATGATATTGATTTAAACTGTGATAATACGTCCACTATACCTTTGGTATTACGTAACTCTTAAGATTTGACATAAATTATTTATTGATTGAATTGTCTACATATACACATATCACTCACTCACTACCTTTGTTATTCTTATCACCTCATCTGCAGAAACCTTATTATCAATATTTTGTTATCATTGTAATCACCGTTATTACTTACTGACGTTCGGAAGATTTGCCACATCATAAGTTACTTGGCGGATGGTGATTAGCAGTGGAATCTAGGATGCGTATTTCATCCTATTTGGGATTCATCCATCAGCCAGCGGATGTGTACCTGAAGTCCCCAGTGAGTGATTTTGTCCCCACGGAGGCTCGAACCCAGTGCCCACAGCTTCAAATGCCAAAGTGTTATCCAATCCACTAGGACACTTCAGCCATGGCAGCCACCCACCTCTTGTGCGACGGGTCATATTGATTATTGAATTGAGTTTCAGATTTTTCCGTCGATTGATTGGACCGAAGTGTTCGGTCTCAGGTTGACATGTCGGCTTCTTGTTCTTCTGCAGGTACATCCAGTTGGCTGACGAGTCCCAGGTAGGTAGGACGAATTGCGCATCCTGGCTGTATTCCACTGCTAATCACCATCCACCACTTAACTTCTAAATACATACCCAGACATCGTCTGCATCTGCATCTGCACAAGAAGCCGATATGCCAATCTGAAACTGAGCACTTTTGGTCCAATCAATCGACGCGAAAATCTAAAATTCAATTAAATGTACCACACTATCATTACTGTTTGATCCACAAATTCACCGTCATTGGTTAAATTTGTTATATATAAATCTATGTAAATTAGAGTAAAGCCTGAAGAGGATCTAACTGAGAACAATAATATTATTCTCTTATATGTCTTGTTCTAATATGAATAATGGGAATATTTAAAGATTCCACATTGTATTGAACTTAATTTATTCTAATCCCTTTATTCCTTTCCTTATCTAGGCATTCACGTGCTCTTTAATCTGACTGTAGATCGTTCGTCACACAGTGACAGTCTATCTGATGGCATTCAATCACAAGCACCTCACAGTTTGGGGTTTGTATATTATGTTCATTATTTTACATAATAATATAGTGCCGTACTTTAGAGAAATCCCGTATTTTGGGATTTTATGCACAACTCAGTTACTATTATTGTTTTATTGCTTTCTTTCGTTCCTAGAGAACCATAGGGCTTCAGCCTCACATCTTCACTGAGTTCGGTTCTCCGCCAACGTTTTCATATGGCTCTGCATCTGCCCACATGCTTTCATCTCCTCTTCACATCACCTCCTCCTCGTCACACTGACGTGACGACTAACCCGCCACCTTTCATTCGGGTTCCACTCAAGTGATATCCTATCCTGGCGTGTGATGTCAATTGATGGTTTGTCTTCTGAGAGTATGACCACCAATCCGCTTCAATTTCTTCCTGCATATTTGTTGCACAATTGATTCTTTCTGAGTTGGTTGGTTCGTTTCCAGAAATCCCTCACCAGTATACTGGTGATCTCTTCTGGCAGGCCTTCTGATCTTGAGTAGTATTGAGCGAAGACAGCTAGCTGTTGATGAAGGTTGAGTTGTGTGTATGCACAACTCAAACGTTTGGTTAATTTTTTATTCCTTCATTTTCCCAGTGGAACATAGAGCCATAATCACATCATATCAACTTGATATGATTATGAGTGGCAATAGCTTATGCTCGAAATGTGGTCATCAGTTAATATTACTTACTGTACAACACTGTGTGATTTATCAGATTAAAATCTCATCCATCATAATGGAGTTATGCTGTACCACAGTGGCCAAATTTTTGGTAGCAGTGTTTAGTTTTACAGACAGGATGGGGTTGCTAGCCTCATACCCAACCTCCCCTCTTTACCGGCTTTATTTTCAGTTTAGCGAGGTAAAATAATGCGACGGATGGGGATCGAAACTCGGACCATGTGCACGGTCGGCGAGATTCCTTATTGCAGCAGCACTCACGCACCGGTTACCCGGTAGGACGCCGGTTTCCTTAATTAATCAATTGTAATTATTGTTGCGGACTCCTTAGAAGAAATCTACACTGGACTTATATACATATATATATATGCCCTGAGTTGGTAGAAGTTAGAATTCGATGGGCCAATGAATTCCATTCCTTTGGTCGACCTCATAACTTGAAGGTCGTGGATCCTATCCCCATTGAAGTGACTCACGCATACTCCTAAAGAGTCAATAATTAGGATGAAACAGCTGTCAATTAATCACTCTGCACCTTTCAAAGTTTCTCTCCCTAAATTCACTTTTTCGATCTAACTTGAACTCCCTGGTTAATATTCGATGCTGACATCCATCGGTTACAACTTCTCATGTGTTTGAGGACTTAAATAACTTCAAAAGTTTAAATCATTTATCGAAACTTACAAAGCACTGTGATTCTTGTTTATGCAATAGAAGTGGTGAAATATACTTTGAAGGTTTCTTCTTCAAATATTCTCTATTCCCCAGGGGATTAGATTCATTACATGAGGTATTCAATAGATTGTCATTCCATATCCAATAGAGTGTACCGAATAAATCATTCAGTCCTTTAGCTTGATAGTTCATCTGTGGATTATTGAACACTCCATCAAGATAGTCAGCTTGTAGTGCAGATGGACAAATCAAGAAAGATTGATTTAGATGTTGATGGTGATGGTGATGTTGATCCAAGGGCGGTGTTGAACTATTTCCATGTGTATTTGGTTCACTGGCATTTGAAATTAATGGGGTGAGCAGTAGGCCAGATCGAGCAAATACCCAAGCATAGTAAGCATATAGATCTAAGTATATAATTCATTTCGAAAAAGTCAATAAAATATTGATCAGTTAAGTAGTAATGATAATGATACAATACAGATGAGTCGGGTACGTAGGGATTTGGGTAAATTACTCTTTGCCTTGTAGATGACTTTGAAGGCGGAGGCTATAGATGTTCAATGATCGCGCTTCTTATTGCTCCACTTCCACGAGTTTTGTCCAAGAGGGTGCAAGAACACTATCCTGCATGGTTACGAAAAGGTGGAAGTGGAGCAATAAGAAACGCGATCATTGAACATCTGGTCGATAATGATCACCCAATGATCTCTATAGCCCCCACCTTTAGAGTTATCTACAAGGCAAAGAGTAATTTATCCAAATGATACAATACTCGGATGATCTGATGATATGAGCTTGTTGAAGGCAATTGGCCACAAGAAACCTTCCTTGAGCTATGGGTTTCGTGCTAGTTGGCACTTAGCAGTCAACAAGGTGTGTATCTGCAACCTTGAAGGAAAAACTCATGTGCTTTCAACCACCTGATATCATCAAATCAAGGTGCACCGTGATGGTGAGCTACCTAGAATGGTGGCCACATTGCAAACCTGACTGATGGAATTCAGTCTGCACAGAAGGAAGGACTAGACACATCGCGCTAGTTACTAGTGTCCGATCAAAGTACTCTGATAATCTGACTAGTGTCATATAAACTCGGAGAAGTATACGCGAAAACCAATAATTTGGCTCTAAAGAGACAGAGAAAGGCAGGATTTCAAGTGAACGTGGAGAAGACAAAGGTGTCGAAGATATCTCACCATCAGCCAGGATAAGCATCAGTTAATATCTACGGGTGGTAGACTGGGTCATGCGTCAGACTGTGCTTGGGAGTGAGAAGACAGGAATACGTTGGACTGACTGATAAGAAGATTCTAGAAGATCTGGATTTCGCGCGTGGGTGATTTATGTCAAATGTCACACAAACTCAAAGACTTGCAGGCAGACGAAGACCAACAAACTGGCTGAAGAAGCTGATAGGCAGCGAAGATAGGACTTCAGGTGAACATCGAGAAGACGGAGGTGATGAAGATAACCAACCAACCAACAGCAATAGCAAAAACAACCAGCACTAATCACTATCAGCGGGAGAGATTTGACAGAGGTTACTTCCTTCACTTATCTGGCTGTCGAGAAAGGGCGGTTTCAACCACAGACACACGGCATGGATAGTTGTATCAAAGTAGACAAGTAACGCCTTCATCATTGTCAAACCAGTTTAGAAATCTTCTGCAGTAACTCAGCCAGGATAAAGAATAAGATTCGGATTTCCAACACAAATGTGAAGTCAGTCAGTCAGTTCTTCTATACGGGTCAGGAACTTGCACCGCGTCCCAGTCCCGAAAAGGATTTCCAATAGACTAATGCAGACTTTTATCAACAGCTGCCAAGTGAAGATCAAATGGCAAGCCTGCCAGGGAGTATCAGCATCAAGAAACTCTGGCTGAGAATAAATCAGTCAAAAAACAACCTGTCTCTCAAGAAATATGTAGGAGAAAATGGAGATGGATAGGGTATAAACCACTGGGGAGGCCAACGAATGACATCGCGCAGAATGCAGGCCATCACCCGAGTGGAATCCCAATGGGAAGCGACGAGTGGGTCGTCGGTACGAGAGTGAGATAGAGGAGTTCGTGTGAGTTGGAGGAGGAGAAGATAAGAGATTATGGGCAGTCGTGTGTCTAGCCAGCTGAAGGGGACGGCAGAAAATAGAACAAAGTGGAGATGTGTTGTTGAAGCCCTCCCTATGTTCCACTCGGAACCCAAAGGAATAATAATAATGATAATAATGTATAATTTTACTTACCTTCTGTATTCAATGAGTTGGCATCAACTTCTTGATCTGATTTTACGTTGTATATCTAATTTTGTTGTATAGAGTAAACGAAGAAAGTGGGGAAAACAGAGCAAAATGATAAAAGCAGAGATCAGTCAAGAACGTTATATAAATACAATTTAGAGAACATCACAGGAGTATTACATAACCTTGATTTTGCTCATTCTTAACTATAACTATGTTTTGAGGAGACTAAAACCTATTCAAATCAGTTGAAAGCAGATTTGATCAGTTACACTATTCAGCTTTCGCCATCGTTTGATTGGATAAAATTCGATTCACGCCTCTTCAACCTTATGCACTCAGATATATTACTTACTTGGTAGTATATATAAGTATGATGTATTAGTTGTCTCGTAAAATCAGTTATAGAGATCATTGAAAGTCAGAGATAATCGGATATTTGTTTCGTCCTGGTTTGGGACTCCTCAGCAACGTACACTTACGACTCCATCAACGATAGAGTCCAGAATCTGCAATTAATGTTGTTCTCTCAGCTGGTTGGTTTAGTTGCGAAGCTTTCGTCGTCCTTCTGGACAACATCCCCTTTCAGCGCCATATTTAGCACAAAGTGAAATGATTTAAATTTCTTCATGAGTGATAGAATTGCGTCTCCTGGTAACCATCTTTACATATGTATTGACCATTTTCTATTGACTTGGATTTTAAACTTTCTGGTCACCCGATCTACTTTTTATTAGTTGGTATATTTCGTCTTTATTAACGTGTTTGCTAATTGCATTTTCGTTTGAGTACCAGGCTTTTGGTGTTTCCTCTGTCGAAGATTTTGACATTATCCTAATCAAACTGATGACCATAATTGTCTACATGCATTGATACTAAAGAATACATATCATGTCTTTTCATGGCTGATCTGTGTTCTTGGATTCTGATTCGAAGGGGACGCCCACTTTGGCCGATGTAATGTCTGTTATAGTTCATACAATTTATTTTGTAAATGGTATTAATTTTATCCCCTTTTTCTGTTGGATCTTCCGGTTTGCATAATATCGAATTAAGCGATTTGACTGGCTTGTGTGCTATATCTATATCGAACGGTCTCAGTATTCTAGCTGTTATTTCAGAGATATTTCTCATGTATGTTAGGATGAATTTTCTTGTGGTCTTTGATGATGGTTCTTTGTTGGTGTTTTGATTCGACTTTAAACACTTTTGATGAAATTTTGTGGATAAGCATTCTTTTTGAAGACCGTTTGTGGGTACTTTCCTTCCATTCTTTTCAACTCTGGAGTGCTACAATGTGTGTGAATTCTTTTAAACAATGTCTGCGTACATTTATAAAATTATATGTCTGCATACAGTTTCGTTTGTGAGTAATTGGATTTTTGCTAGTATAGTTGAGTATCTGATCTGTGTGCGATGATTTTCTATATACTTGTGTTTCTAGATCTCCTGTGATGGTTCTCCTGATTAAGACATCTAAAAATGAGATTTTGTTATCTAATTCTTCTTCTCTTGGTAATTTGATGTCTTCAAATAGGCTGTTTATTAATTTATGAGTATATTCTAAATCATTTCTCTTAATTGCATCATCAATGTAACCTACCCAGATTTTCGGTTTAATTATAGGTAGAGCTATTAATTCTAATCTTTGCATGACGTCTTCAGCTATTATTCCTGATATGGGCGGTGATCCCATTGGTGTTCCTTTTATTTGTTCATATATTTGAGTATTGAATTGGAAGTAGGTTGTAAGGCATAATTTTATGAGTTCTATCCAAGTTGATAATTGCGTTTTTATGTTTTCGTTACTATAGTGTCCAGGATCATCATCAGGTTACAAGATCAAGCCAGTCATTTGAGCAGGAATACAATGACTAGTGAATTCAAAATTGTTGTTTTACCTAACACAGACCATGGTGAATTTGAGGTATCTTAAACAAATCCAAGGTCAGTCAAAAGTTTACCACGGAGAACCAATCAGATTCAAGGAAGGCTATGCAAGATTATTCCAAACCGCATCATGCCTGTCTCTTTGGATTTGCCGAGGATAGATACAGTAATCTGCCTATTTCCTAGGCACTGTTTACTAGGGTTATGGTTTTTAAGATTAAAGTTAGGTTCTAGGGTTAAGGTTAGAACTGGGGTCCAGGAAAACAGTCAGAGTTAGGGGTAGATTAAAGAACAGTGTCAGAAACATCAATGGATCTGAAAGTATCATGATCTATAGTCATCTGAATAAATATATATCTGTCGCGCATGGTATGATTTCTCCATAGATTATCTGAGTAGTATAACTGGAAGACATTCCTACAATACATAAGCGACAATAATCCAGGGTAATATCAAGTGTGGAATGTTTTTAGTGCATTTTTCAACGATTATGTGACTTTTAGGCATCTGAATTCTGATTGGTTGTTCAAGGGATCACTGGGATTTTGACTACAGAAGTTTAACTTCGCCTAGACCACTATTGTCTTCTGATTTCTTCATGGCCTCATGGCAGAAGAAGGTATTTGAGGGAGAACAGTCGTATTCAGTCTTCAAGTAAGTTAATCAATGCATTTCAGAGTCGAACTCGAATCTCAGTCTTATTAGAAGCGGTTATGTAACAGATTTGGCGACATTTTACTGGACTGCATATATTATGAGGAAACCATCAAGATACATTGAACAAAAGGTTTTTTAGTGGAACAATATTAAACACTCACTGCAAAATAGATTACGTAAAGTAGGGATAAGACTCAGTGCCTCGTGGTGTGATAGCTGCTCGATCATCACAATTAGATAACATGTCGACCTCTACACTCCAAAATCTGGAGCATAGTTTATTGTCATTGTTCTGGCGTAACACTGGATTTAATGGGCCTGGCCGAACACATGGTCCAGTTCAGACACTAAAAGGAATACGTAAGCTTGGTCAGCCACGTGTAAGATACGGAATGTACTGTTACAAATATGGACGGGATTCAGATTAGAAGAGTTCAGACTTGATCCCTCAGATGTTAGCTTCGCACCATTAACCTTTCAACCAGGTACACATACCAACTGTCTGAACCTACGGTTCCTTTTGAACTAAACAGGTTTACCATATCAATGGCCAGATTGTACTTCACTGATTACTGTACCCATAACGTGGGTAAAACCAACCTGCCTCAGGACGGTCTAAACCCCCAGCTTACGTTTCCTACTATTGGGTGAACAATCCAACGCTTGGTGAATTCTACTTCACAGTGATAGCAAAAATAGCAATATTAACATGT